CTAACGTTCTGTGATTCTGTGATTCTGTTGGAGCCTGGAAAGTTTTATTGTTATTATTTATTTTTTAAACTTTTTCCCCCCCTTAGTGTGAGGAGTCTCACCAGGATGACTGTTATACTTCCACTGTTTTTGATTATTTTCTTCTATGAACAGTTCATAGAACCATAGAATGGTTCAGGTTGGAAGGGACTTAAAGATCATTCAGTCCAACCCCCCTGTCATGGTCAGGGACACCTCCCACCAGACCAGGTTGCCCAAAGCCCTGTCCAACCTGGCCTTGGAACACTTCCAGGGAGGGGGCATCCACAGCTTCCCTGGGCAACCTGTGCCAGCGCCTCACCACCCTCACAGTAAAGAATTTCTTCGTAATATCTAGTCTGAATCTCCCCTCTTCCAGTTTGAAACCATTACCCCTTGTTCTCTCACTACCTGCCCTTGTAAAAAGTCCCTCCCCAGCTTTCCTGTAGGACCCCTTTAGGAACTGGAAGACTGGAATAAGGTCTCCCTGGAGCCTTCTCTTCTCCAGGCAGAACAGCCCCAACTCTATCAGTCGGTCCTCGTAGTGGTGTGCTCCAGCCCTCTGATTATGAAATGGACTCTGATGTATCTGCCAAGGAATTCCTTGATTTAAATTCACTCCATGCTTAATGTAAGAATTTTCTTATATGTTTTCCTAAGACTGTAATGCTTCATCAATTAGTTTATCAATTTAGTTATTATAGTGCAAAAAATGGAGAGGGAAGGGAGAAAAAACCTTGCGTATTTTTCCTCTTCTGTGTAACTGAAAGACACTTTGTATTTACTGGAAACATTGGTCATCTTCCTTTCTTTTCCCTAGGGAATTATAGCCACATTCTTAGATCTAGTTTTTGAAACAATTGTTTTTCCTTTCACTGGAAAGGAAAGTTGAATGCTGTTAGTAAGATACTGGGTTTGAGACTAGACATCTTGGTCTTGATCCTCTTGCTGTGCTAGGTCGGCTGCTTCTCTGCACTTCATTGTTCCGTATGTCAAACAGCAAAGAAAAATGTGTTGTGTTGTGTTGATGACATTGGTGCCTGCCTGTTTCTGTAGTGACTGGCTTTCTTGGAGTGAATGCTGATCTCTCACTACATGTGTCAGTGCCTACAGAATGTGGTGTATCCGTCCAGCTCCTTAGGGGCTGCGGTACTGCAACAGGCAGCACCCGCCCAAGTCTCATAATCTAGCATCAGAAATAAACTCTGGCTAGCTAGAAATATGATTATGTTAAAGCATCCTGACCTGACAAGTCTACTTTTTCCTCTTCTAGGTTGGTAGGGTTTGAAAATTACCTTGTTTTGTAGAGTGCAAAAGAGTTATCTTAATAACTCTTATTTGTAAGGTTGCTTAATTTGAAAGGTTATTTTCAGACGGGCAGATTTTTGTACATATGATTGATTGTGGTAGTTGAATTACACCGGGAGGAGATCCTTAATGTCAGGTGATGTGTATTTTGGAAGACCTCTGCATGAAGAGGTGCCTGTGAATTTTGTTTCGCTTTGTTTTCAAAGGTGAAGTGGAGACTGCCACAGGAGTATTGTTTTTCATCAGTGCTGAAATGAAACAGCTGTTTGCTCTAATGTGTCCAGTGGTGATACCCAGAACTGACTGGTGTACCTCTGAGTATATTGCAGCCTCTGCCTAATTGTCTAGAGTTCCCTTTCAGTGTGTTCAGCACAGCCCTGTTCTTCTAAATCATTATGTTGTTACAACTCTATTGTCATCTTGAGGCTGGGGGGGGAACCCTCATCCACAGCAAACTACAGATGGATTCATGTTACGTTATCCAGAAGCAATGAATATAGCTGACCTGCAAGTCTGACTACTGAGTTATTAAAAATTATTTCCTCTTTCATAATAAACTAATTTTCAAAAAGAGAAAGTAGAATATCTGAAAAGGCAGCTCCCTAGATAAAATCCTCTGTAAAGTTCAGGGCGTGCTCTTAAAAGCAAGTGAAAATTATTCCTTTTAGGTGAGCGTTTTAGTGTTATCTCTTAAGTAATAGAGTACTGTGTGCTTTGTATGCACACAGGTGTCTATTTTTATGTACTTCTATTGTGGTTGGTAATATCAACAGAAGGCACCACCCAGGAATCTGTCCAGGAATCTAATTGAAAATATTGTGGTAAACAAAGGAGATTCTGTCCAAATATCTGTCTGCAATATTGGCCATGGTAAATACCTTATTTAAATGAAATCCTGGGCAATGCTGATCTGTCTTTTTGATAGGTTTAACAATTTCTACAATTTTGCTAAGACTTTAGATGGAGAGATGGGACAAAAGGTGCATCTATGTATTGCCTTACAGAAGGTAAAGTCACCAAGGTTTTGACTTTTGTGTAAGTTCTGAGGTGAGCGATGTCTCTTTCACTTATGCCGCCTTTTCCCTTCTGTCATTAATTGTGATAAACAGTTTAGGCCTCAGTAATCCTGAAGCAATGCAGTGTAAATTCACTGATCAAGATTAATGCAAACTGAAGCTTGTGGTGGCATTAGGTCGAGTAGGGCATCCTAATGTATACTGGGATACACAGCCTAATGGAGGAAATACTATAAGGCAACCGATTAAGTCCTAGCTACAGAGCATGTTTTTCAGCAGCAAGTCATTACAGGTTTGATCATTACAAAAGAGTTGAATTAAAACATTTACAGCACTTGGAGGGTTCTGCTTAAAGTCTCTTGGTGCTCAGTAATGTCAAGGTACATGAATACCTTTCTCCCTTGCAGGATCTTTTTGTCACTGAACCAGTTTAGTGAGGAACAGTTATATTTTTTAGCACTGGTACGTTGTGTGAAGTTAGGTCTCAACCTGTTGCTGGCTGGAGTATGAATCAATTAGAAATACAAGTTTGAAAATCATGACTTACTATAACTTTCTCATGTTAATTGTTTTGCTTGAATGCTTTTTTGTGATAGTAAAGAGTAGTTAATCAGAGAGGTGAACCAAAAGAAAGATAATGAAAAAGCCAGCTGTGATTGTCCCATCTCACTCTGGCTAATGAGCATCTTCCACTGTTGTATCTCCTTTATTTTTGGAAGTCTGTCTCTTCCTTTTCCTATGTACTGTTTTCCTTGTTGTCCATTTGGCTTTCTTCACCTCTTCATTGTTTCAGATATCCATCTCGTTTGTCTGTGTAAGGCCTATATGCATATGGTAGAAACTCCTGGGATGCTGGAGTTGTCTGTTTTTCTTTCATAAATTTCTATGTTTTGTAACAGTCCACTCTCTTCTAAATGATACTTCTGTTGGTGGCTGGATGAGATTGCTAGAGAATAATGGAGAAGTGCTGTCCAAATTTGACACTGATCTAGCATCATCATTTGTGTGCCATTGATCCATGGAGGAAGGACTAAGTGAATTTGGAAGTGCTGCCATTGATTTATCTGCACATGTTGAATTGGTCATCACTGGCAAAATAATCTTTATATAGAAAGAGGTATTTTGTGGCCTACTCAGTAGCTGTTATCACAAAATAGTGACTCTTTGCTGTAATTAACTTCAGATTCTCGCCCTTACCAGGGTTAGATAGTCTTCTGAGTAATTATTTGTAAAAATGATAAATGAATTTATTATGAGCATCACTAGAACACAGCAGAGCTTCAGTTTTTTGATATAAAGAAAAAAGTGAGATCATGCCATACTCTGTGCTTATACTTCAGTTAATAATGGTTCACTTTCCTTTTCTAGACAAGATTAATGCAGTAATTACAGTTATTATAGATGCCATAATATTTAAACTAGATGTATTCAAAGACTTTATGGCAGAAGTGGAGGTGGGATGGACAGAAGGCTTGTCTTGCTTTTATGGCTTATAAAGCTGTAAAATGTTTTTAACAATTAAAATAAACCTCTCACTGGCTGAGATTGGAAAGCACTTTTGGATGCCCTCTGGTTCAGCCCACCTGCTCAGGCAGGATCTCCTGAAGGAGGCTCCTCAGGGCCTTCAGTTAGGTTTTGAAATCTGCATGGTTGGAGACTCCACAGCCTTGCTGGGCAACCTATGGCGGTGTCTGAACATTGAAGAATCCCAGCTGTTTACTCTTAAAAAAATTGAGGGGAGGTAAGGGGAATGGGGTGGGATGGAGTGAACTGGTGAAGGGCTTCTGGAAGATTTGGAGATGTCTCTTACGTTTTCCAGTACTTTTGTAAAAGGAGCAAAATTTCTGAATTTTAACCGAATGTAAGCATTCCGTAATGTTAATTGTGTAGGTGGTAATGGAGGAATACTTGTGAACTGTCTGCCGTGCATTGCTTCCTTTACTTTTCTGGATTTTTCTTCGAAATGACACTTTATTTGTTCTCTCTTCCAGACACAGATTTAATATCTAGTTAGTTGGAAAATAAGGCTGCTATGTAGCTGTCCGCCATTTCAAAAGAAGAAAGGCAGCCTTCTAGAAATACTTTCCTGGATGCTTCTGTATTATATTTGATCTTTTAGTTATCTAAATATGAGACATGGAAATGTGACTGTATTTTTCTAAAATTTCTCTGTTCTCTTTTATTCCAGGCCTGCTATTTCTGTTATGCGTATCCCAGTTATGAGAGGGTTTTTGTGATTTCTGAGCTTTGTGCTGTCAGCCTTATGTGAACAAACAAAACCAAAAAGCAAGCTGATTTTTAGAAAGCAAAATGCCACGTAGAAGGAAAACTGGTGGGAGTCCATCTCGGAAGAATGGCAATTTTGACAGAACTGCTGTTGCTGTATCCCAAGGGGACCCAAGCTGCTCAATGTCACAAGCAGTGCATACTGTCAATAAGGAAGAGCTCTTCAACAGCATGTCAGAAATGTTTTCTGACCTAGATCCTAGTGTGATTTATATGGTTCTGTCTGAATGTGATTTTAAAGGTAAATAACATACAGTTAGCATTACAGTTTTGTTCCATATGCAGACAGCTTTTAACTAGGCTGACTCCAGAAAAGTTGGTGTGGGTGTTGCAAGCGTATTTTTGAGTTCAGCTTTTTATGAGTAGGTGAGTTGTAATATTTTGAAATTTTACAGCTCCATGCAAGATTCTCCAAGTTTTTGCAGTAGCATTGTGCTCCATAGGCTGCCCAGAGAGGTTGTGGAGTCTCCTTCTCTGGAGACATTCAAAACTCACCTGCACATGTTTCTGTGTGATCTTCCCTAGGTGATCCTGCTCTAGCAGCGGGGTTAGACTAGATGATCTTCAGAGGCCTCTTCCAACCCCTACCAAACTGTGCCTCTATTTATCACAGAATAAGTGGCTTGTTCTGTTACACAGTGCAGGTGGTGGTAGAGTTGTGAGAATAATCTGAGTTTTTTCAATTAGCTTCTGTGTCATATCTGCTAGATGCATAAGCTGTTTCTGCAGGATGGGTATTTTATGTTCTGAATCACAGTTTTTTTAAGACAATAGTAAACCATATGTGGTCCTGGCAGTGTTTGTTTTTCCTAGAATACCTGGATTGAGCTTTTGTTTTACTTTTTATTTTGCACTGTCATCTTACTATCTCCACTGAGGATTAGTTTTTACAGGATAAATTCTGTTTGTCATGTTGAATTCTCTGCAGCCTCGCTTGAACTGTGTTTTACCCCTGTATTTTGCCAAGCTACATACCCACTTCTTCTGACAGACTGTTTTCGTATCTGTGCTCAGTCCTTCTCATGCTTTTGTGGTTTTGAAATTCTTGTATATACAAGTTCATTTGATTATAATAAAAGTAACAGATGAAGTGCTGGGTAGCAACATCTGAGGAGTTACTTGGCAGGCAAATAAGTCATATATGGAGCATTTTAATTGATCTGTATTCATGTGATCAAATGTGATTAGCTGAGATTTTTCTAAGACTGCAAATGAGGCAGAGTTTGGCATTTTTTTATATGTATGAAAGCTAGATAGTCCTTAAAAGGACTGCTTTTATTGCCATTTTTACCTTACCTAATTTGTACAGAATCTATAACTTAATAGCTCTCTTATATTTGTTGCTGTGATTGTTATTCTTTTTAAAATTGAAATTGATTGAATTACTGATTCATGCTTTGAACTGTTAGTGAGATGTACCTGTATCAAAATAATAAATTTATCTAGAAGCTTATTGGAGAACTCAGTAAACATGCTGAGTTTGTTATTGTGTTGTACTATTAACAACAGTTTAAAAATCGAAAAATTAGCAGCTTTTCATATGAGTAATAATAAGTTGCTCTGATATGGTAGAGAAAATGTAAGGAGTTGGAAGATTTTATTTAACGTGTGCAGAAATAGTTGCATTTCAATGGACTTAGACTTCTTGCTACACTGTCTTTCAGGAAAAGAGCTTTAGAGCTCAGGTGATACGTGTACAAGGCTTTCATTTTGTTTGTGTTTGTCACAGACAACCTATACTCAATTTAGTGGCTTTACAAAGAATTTAATGCAGATTATTAATGGATTTTTTAGACTATTAGTTATGGTATTTTCTGTTGGGCCTAGCCATAATTAACATTATTTTGTGTACTTTTATCTATTTAGTTCTCAGTGGTGTTTTTCAGTTCGTTTTACACTATTTTGCCTGTATGAGATAGGTTAGAAATAAGTATCCATTTAAACACTCAGTTATCTTTTTTTTCCTGTTAAACTTAGTAAATTTTAGACATTATTTCTTCAGTAATTTTTATGCTTATTAGGTTATTATTTTGCAATACGTCTCTATTAAGTTCTGTCTTTAATGAGAAACAGATCAAGGTAGTTGCAGAAGGTGTGTTCAAAGATGAATTGGTGAACTGTCTTTTGGTTCTCTTAAGTTGTGATAAATACTCTCCTTCAAGTAAAATATTGCATTCCCATCAACTTGTGTTTGTTGAGTTGACCATGCTGTATTCTCGTTACCTTATTCAACAGTAGAAAACGCTATGGATTATCTGCTAGAGCTGTCCACCCATGCCAAAGGAGTAGCATCTTCAAAAACCTTGGGTTTTGATTCAGTAGCATCATCAGTAGCTCTTGCTAATCAGCAAAGATCTGTTGCAAACGAAAGAATGCGGGGAAGTACTGCAGAACAAAGTAATTTTGAGGGAGAAAAAGAAAAGATCCTGTCACCTGATGTGCGGCTGACTGAAGAACTGGACTCTTTAATAGAAAATGCCTTTCAGAGATACAGCTTGATTGATGAATCACCTAATTCTGCAAATGACCAAATTGTACATAAGCACTCTGTGGATCACGATGGCTTTAATCAGTTTCCTGAGTGGGAAAAGTCTGATTCAGGTTGCAATGTCCTACTTTTTTCACAGCAAACAGAGACGAATAATGGAGTTTTAGAAAACTTTCGCTGTTCTGAGCCACCAGGGAGTCAGCTGAGTGTCCAAACAAACTCAGCAGCTGCATCAGACACTTTTGTACAGATACTGGAAGTTTCTGATTTGTCAGAAATACATGCTGTAGCTTCAGAAGTCTGTAAACAATCAAACGGAGAAATATCATGTGGAAATTCTGAACAGACTCACGATACTGTTTTGGATCAAAAAAGTGTCACTGCTGCTTCTGGGGAGTCCTCCCAAAGACCTCTGGAACTTGGAGCAGCTGTCACTGAAAATTCTAATTCACGGTGCCTGGAACAGCACAAAGAGGTGGTGACTGCCTTTGAGAGCCACCAGAGCACTTCTCTTCCAGACGCTTATATCTCTCTTGAAACGTCCAGTTTCAAAACACCCAAACCTGCCGATTGTCAGCAAACTCAGCAGGGTTACAACTTAAATTTTTCTACACTGTCATGTCACCCTCAACGACACTGGAATCTCACAGCTCCTGTGTTTTATCCGTCCAGTGGAGGTCACTTTGTAACTCCTGTGGCTGTCAGTCCAGAACAGTGGAGGCGTTTTTCAGGCTATAGGACTTTGGAAAAAGAACTTTTTTTTTCCTCTCCAGTGATTTCAAATGCCTGGGATAACAGCCCTTCTCTGAAGGTATGGGGAAATCAAGATAGAAACTCAAAATTGAACCTCTCGCAAGCACAGCAGCCACCTGTTTGTCACATGATGAGAAAAAAGATGCACCTTATAGGTCAAGTGCTTGTTCTTCTCAGAGGTGTTCCAGGATCAGGAAAATCATATTTGGCAAGGTAGAACATTTATATTGTGAGCTTCTAAATGAATTTGCTTAACTGTGTACAAGATTTAGTGCAGCCAGAGACTTTTTTGACATTTGTAAGTAGTTCTGCTTATACCCCAATTTCCAGCTACATGGTATATGCAGCATCAAGAGTGGTAATAATTGCAGAGAGCCAAGTTTTTGCAACTCTTTGACCTCTAGTGGAAATTGAAGTAACAGTAACAGTTAGCTTTAACTTCTGTCACTGGCTGAGGGAGTTTATGTCAGCAGAGGATCACTGCAGTAATGCTAAAGCTGCTGTGTTCTTCCCAGTCCCTGTTCATTTTGGGTGTTCCTTTCAATAACATGGGTGGAGATATGCCAGCTCTACATGGGCAAAATTCCCCTTCCACTGCTGGAATTCTTTTGTGTAAGTAGTATGTGTGGAGCTTATTGGGTTGAATTCTTGATTTCTTTTCTAACTCTCCAAAGACATAGATTGGTCTTATACTCCTTTGGCTGGCACCTGAAATACTTGGTGCAATTAAATCTGTATCTATTTGTCAGCGTGAAAGTACGGCACTAGATGTAGATGGAAAAATAACACCCTTGTTTTGAAATGAGAGTCTGTCAGCTTTTTATTTCCAACTGAGTGGGGAAGTTATTACATCTTCACCTGGAGTGTGGTTTTTTGTTGTTTTTTTTTTTCCTTACCTAAATTTGCTGTTTCCATTCCAAATAAACTTGGCTTTGTGCAAGAGACTAAATACATACATGTATGGTAGCACGTATCAGGGCTGGGGAGGAGAAGGGGTAAAAGCTGTTCACTTCTTGATTATTCACAGGGCTTTGCTTGAGGATAACCCAGATGGAATCATTCTTAGTACTGATGATTACTTTTATAAACATGGACAATACCATTATGATCCCGATTGCTTGGGGGAAGCACATGACTGGAACAGGAAACGAGGTGAGAAATAAATAAGGGAATAGCTTGCTTATTTACAGTTCAATGCTTGTGTGCTGTTTAAAAAGCTGCCTGTCTTGTAGTGCCTGTGTCACAGGCCTGTGTCACATTTATGCCACCATAGAAATATTTTTTAATATGTGTGTGGAAAAAGAATATGAGCATGAACTCAGAAGTCATCTGTCCAGTATGTTTTGCAATTAAAAATGCTGGTGTCTCTGTAAAAAGATTTTTTTTTTTTTTTATTTGGTCCACAGATTTCATCGTGGTTTGTATTTTGGGTTGTGTACCATTTCTGGAGTGGTAATCTGTACCATCTCCCAGAAATATTTCTTCTGAGATGAGCCATTATATATGCATATACAATAAGTTGTGAAGTGGTTGATACAAATAGATGGGTATTTTCCTGCTCTTGATTGTTTTTTCTCTTGAGCACTAAATTGTTGGGAAATTTTAAAAAAAGATTACAAGAGCAAGACAGAATAAATTATTATTTTCTATAATTGGTGAATCCTTTCATAGCAGCTTCTACTTAAATCACCATAGAACAACTCTTTTTAAGCTTTATTTGCTAAATTTGAACCATGATCACTTTTCTACTGTCAAATTTCTGTCCTGTGGAGAAGAGGTTTATAAGAAATGTGAGATTCAACAATAACTTTGATTGTTCAGATGCATTGTAACATAGCTGCGGAAACATGGTGCTGTATCTCAAAGCTAGTGATTCTAAACATTTCATTACTGTGTATTTAAAGTACAATAATTCTTTTGATTTTTCATATTTTATGCAGTTTTCAGAGTGGACTAATCTTAAGACTGTTAAAAAGCCAAGAATTTTGTATGCAACAAAGTCGTCCACTTTAAGGTGATCATGTAGTTGTTTTTTTTTAGTTTACTGATTGATTAGTCATCTGGGTGCATTTTACATCTGCATTTTCATTCCTTAATTATCATACATATATTAATTCAAAAGAATGATGCCGTATCTCAGTAACTTTACATGTGAGGGGGGATTTCTAAAATAAGAGGGCCTTGAAACAGATGAAGCTGTGGCAAGAGTTCTTTACACAGCAATTAATCGTTAGGGATTATCTGCTTTTAAAAATATTACAAATTTAGAGAATTAGTATAAATGTTACATCGACCCTATAATAACAAAATTAACTGTGTCACGTTCTTTTGTACATGTGTGTCTTTCAGCCAAAGAAGCATTTGAAATGAGAATCTCTCCTATAATAATAGACAACACAAACATACAAGCATGGGAGATGAAGCCTTATGTTACTTTGGTTAGTATTTGATGGATGTGAAAAGGGATTATTGACCAAGGTGGCAACAATACATGTTTTAAAATGACATTGTCTTTCTTGGTGTAGCTATTATTCCACAAGGAAGCCTGAAGCCAAAAAAAAAGAAGTTACATCGCATCATATTACCCAGTGTCATGTTCTGTGCCCATCTGAGTATTGACCCGGACTGGCTTCCAAGTGACAAAGCCAGGTGCTTTGCACTTGATAGCAAAAATAAATATTGCTGAGGAAACTGAATTCTGTTCCTTTTTTATATGATCAATAAAATTATAAGCTACTTTTAAGATATAACAGCACTATTTAATGAGTGACGTTTGCTCTATGAAACTATGCTCTTCTATCCTCAGGTGATGGGGGATAGAACAAGGGGAAATGGCACCAAGCTGTGCCAAGGGAGGTTCAGGTTAGAGATAAGGAAGAAGTTCTTTACTGAGAGGGTCGTCAGAAGCTGGAACAGGCTGCCCAGGGAGGTGGTGGAGTCACCATCCCTGGATGTATTTAAAAAGCGGGTAGATGAGGTACTTAAGGATATGGTTTAATGGGTAGACAGGAACGGTTGGACATGATGATCTCAGAGGTCTTATCCAACTGAGCGATTCTGTGTGTGTCTGTGAAACTTGAAAACTCAGTCTTAGTTTCATCCTAAATGTGACATACAGGCAGACGCCAGCTGACCAGTTGTTTGGCTAGAGTTATCAAATGTTAGGCCAGTCCTGTTTAACATCTTTATCAATGATCTGGATGAGGGGATTGAGTGCTCCCTCAGCAACTTTGCAGATGACGCCAAGTTGGGAGGGAGTGTTGATCTGCCTGAGGGTAGGAAGGCTCTGCAGAGGGACCTGGATAGGCTGAATCAATGGGCTGAGGCCAATTGTATGAGCTTCAACAGGGTCAAGTGCCAGGTCCTGCACTTTGGGCACAATAACCCTATGCAGTGCTACAGGCTTGGAGATGAGTGTCTAGAAAGATATCAAGCAGAAAAGGACCTGGGGGTGTTTGTGGACA